CTATACTTTCTTACGCAGAACATTCGACTTTTCTTCATAGATACCTACAAACGCGAAGTTGGAAAATATTTGATTCAACTACACCTTCGCCATATATGCACAAAATCAGCGCGAAAAATGGAAGCAAGTACTGCATGGTTTGACCTAGCAATCTCCTACCTCAAGTATTACGAGTAACTAAGCCTGCAACTCATCTCAAGAGGGAAAAGCACGGATGACGTACCAGTGCAAAATCAAACCGATAATATTTCTTAAAGTATTATCTGCACCCTCCCGAACAGAACCGCGGAGAGCAAGACTGAACACCTGTACGCGGTGTCCTCTACGAACCTGGGAGTGAAATATTCTCCCAGAACCAAGTTCAGTCAAATTTCGCGATACCCAAGAATTTGGCTCACGAGGCAATGATTCAAATTACTCCGCGTCAAATTTTCACACCCAAAGAGTTTGACTCCAACCTAAGTCTCATCAAGTCTATAACTACGACCTAGTACATCCTCATTCCAATGACCACACGTCTCTTTGTCCTTCTCTAGCCACAGTTGACCACCAAATACACGCCCACGCCAATTTTTACACCCGACGGAGGAAGCAAAGCGGTGCACACAAATCTGGGAGATAGTCCTTTGGGATGGACGTGAGTGGGATCAGGTCAAGTTGACAAGATGATGTTAAGGACGGATATAACTTTGATGGGCGTGAATTTTGGAATATAGGCAAGAGTTTTACGAATTGAGCTTTGTGTGCGCCTAGGCTTCATTTGCGAGAGTGCAGCTGACACTATAAACACAAGTCAACGATGAAAGGTGCCGTGGTCCGCCTCCTGTTAGTGTTCTCTGGTATAGTTTGAGTAGCCTGGGCACAAACTCCACTTGGGAAGGAGACGCCTCAGACCATATTTCGCGAGGAGAAAATTAGTGGATGATGGAGGCATGTCTGGAAAACTCAGGGTGAAGAAAAGCCGCCATAACTTCGTAGTGGTACTTGCAAGTGAAATCCGAGGCATGAGCGCTCCTCTTGTATATTGATTCATCTTTTCTGTACTTTTCTTTAATATTGTGTCATAGCTAGATAGCTGTATACGCAATTAAAATCTGATGCAAAAAACCACCCGAACCGCGGAACGTACAAAGCTCTTCAAGAAGATATTTTTCAAATAATGGTCATTGGACATATTCTTGAAGATAGAATGGCCCGGAAGTTGTATTATATTAGATTATTACATTATGTTCTGGCTAGACACATTCCAACTATCTTCAGTACACTCAGATTACTAAGCAATTCCCTTTCACGCTAAGATTGAAGACTGACTCTTCAACACATATCATTTACCTCCTCTTACCTATTTTTCCTGCCTTCTCTAACGCTGTTGGATAGGCTGTGCCTCGGTATCTGATCAGATAACAATGTACGTTGGAATAAAGATGTTCTTGTTTAATCTACGATAGTGATACATCTATGATAAAACTGCACGAGGCTGACTATTCAGCCTTGTACCCTTAAATCGTGCGAAGACCTCTTCACAGTGTTATTTCCACACGAAATAATAAAACTTCAAAATCGTCGAAGAGTAACCTGTGTAATGACAAACAACAAGCGCTAATCCAGAAGATCTACTTCGCAAGTTTTGTGCACCGCGATCTTTATCTCTCTGCAACTATTAGTATTGTTCTGGGTATTTGTTTGGAGGCCAGCTGGGAGCATAGACTGAGTTGATACGAGAGACCATTGAAATAAAGATTTACTGAAATGTGCTCTTAGACTTCACAAGGTCTTGATCACGATGAATCCTGTTAGGGGTTAAGGATTGATGTTGTGGAGAGTCTTGAATTATTAGCTTGCATGCCAGATTCTTCAGGTTTGCGAGATTTGATTAAATATGGATCTAGAAGAATACTTCATTCCTAGGTTCGTAGTAAACACCGCGGACAGATGTCGAGTCTTTTCAAACACCTTTGATTGGAACGGCGGCGGAAAAATTCCTAGGTGTAACCTGAGTGTATATGAAAGCATATATCGCTTTCTACCAACCTGACGGAATGGCAAACTTTGTTTTCTGTGAGAACGGATATTTCTACAGGATGTTTGTCATGTGTTTCTAGCCCTCCTTAATTACCTGTTTCGAATTTGACAAGACGTGGAAGGCGAATTGAAAGATCCCGTGATTCAGGGAGGCAAATTTGTTGCTGAATTGACTCATTAGACAATGTGTCCTGGCGTTTGATACATCTTCGGAAGGGATGTTAATTTGTGCATCAAAAGATCCTCTGATGTAATGGTCAGTTGTCATGGTTATTCTCAGTCCTGGTCGACAATACTCGTTGCGCGGACACCTAGCGCCTTTCAACATCATCCATTCGTCAGCCCTGTAACGTTGCTAGGACAATCTTTCCACACTGCTCGGCTCCAACTATGTAATTCGTGCTTTGTGGTGACATGTTATGTCCTGCTACAGATGTTTAGACTGAACAACGCAATCAGCCTTGCAGTCTGCCGCGATCCTAAGTCAATGTCTTTCGTTACGGACGAACTAGAGACAAACTGCATACAAGCTTGGATCTGTGCGTCGGTTGGTGCCCATCCTTATGTCAGCCCTCGCCATGATAACCAAGTTTCACATTATGCCGCTGTCACTACTGCTGCTTTTGCTGAAGTCGACGAGTCAACTGATATGGCAACTATCCCATCTTAGAGGAAACACCGCCCTCAGCCATAAGAAATTGACGCCCCCATGTAAGCTAGCCTCGGGGTTCCACGCATACAAGCATCTACTCACATGGTCCTCTAGGAAAAGCATGGGCTCACCTAGACCCATCAACGCCGATCTTTTCAAGATCCATGATCGTTGCAGACTTCGACTCGCGTTGGGCTGAATTGATGTCAATTAATGGAAAATTAGGGAACGAATTCGCAGGCTACGACTAGGGAACCAGATGCCCGCGGAAATCCTCAGCAGCGGCATGAGCCATGACGGCTAAACAAGAGCGACGTTTGGTGAAGGTTCGCCACTGTCACGAGATGAGATTGTCGATCTGGAGATCGCAGACGGGGATCATGGGGAGGATGCGGTACGCAGATTTGTGTACACGACTATGGGGCGAGCTAGACGCAGAGTACAACACCAACGAATCTGATGGATACTGCCTACTTCGAGACATAACTACGATTATCACGGCAAGCGACTCGGCACCTTGTGCAGAGCGACGCGGACTACAACGGCCCTCCACGGACAGCACGTCCGAACCGGATTCCAGGCCTACATCGTCGCAGCGACCACCCGGGGATCCCCCGTTGTCGGGACACAGCTTAGTTGTCGTAGTTACGGAGTCTGCTCCGGCCCCGGCACTAAGCGCGTCGCTGCTCGTAGTCAGCACCATGCCATACCGCCGGAGTCGCGATGGTGGCATTATTGATCTCTCGTTTCCCGACAATCATGCCAGACGGCCGCTGGACACTGGTTCAGCTATACCCTCGCCTTATTCTATCTGGTCTGTTGAAGTCCCGGGGTCTCGGCAGCGCAAGGTAATGTAGGCAACGCTACTTCCGGAGACGCCCGATTCAAGATCCCGACTTGAGCCGCCTCATGCCCGCAGCCATTCAACTCAGACTCGCCCCTAGTAGCAGTAGGCCGTTAGTAAAAGATAGCGCACCCTTGGCATGGCTATGGCCTAGCCATACTCGCTGTAACGTATTCCTCTTGAGGCCTCATTCAAAGTTAGACCAACGATTTCTTTATCCGAAAGGGCTACCTCACATATGCCATGCCCATCATAGGCAACGCCAGCGATATTGGATCAGTGTCAGCTGCTACGGGCCCTTGGCTTCTGTAACTGTCGCTGTAAGGGCAGTCGGCGTAATGCACGCAACTGCCGATACCATGGCGGCTGCGGCTGTCGCCGGCAGCAAGATGAACAAAGTTTGCCTTGACCACCCGGAAGGGCTGCTTACTCATTACAGTGGTTACGAGAATGCGGGTTCTGGAGTATTAAAAGCTGACAAAGGAATTATTCCGAAGCTACAGTATGTGTACGTGAGGTGTGAAGTTACATCTTGTTAGGCTAGGTAAGTTGGTTACATAAAGTCTATCTGATTAATCCTAGTCACGCTATAACCACTACTATTTTCGATGGGTACTACGCTCGTTGCTCGTTAAGACATAACGATAATTATGGGCCGCGAATCAGCTTGTAGTCTCCCACGCTTATCATGTTTGCTCAAATGAGCATTGAGACCTGATGAGCACCGAGATATCGCTTAGCTGGGCTATGCCCGACATATTCTATAGAGGCTGGAGTCACCTAGCTGAAAATTATCAACATTGCCGGAAGAACGTTGGTGGCAGCAGAGGTGTGATGAAATCGTTACTATCCGTCGTTCCACCCTGTCGAACTAGTCTGCAATCATAGATTGCACGATGTATTTTTCATCGTATGGAATGCAAATTTCAGCGATTAAATTAATATAGGCGTTGGATTATCTCCAGCCTAGTTTATTATACCGTACTCAGCTAGCGCTTGTGGGTTACTGAGCGTGTCCTGTAAATCCCCTCTACCCTCGGTCCCACCCTATCGATTTTAGATGTATGTACACATACGAACGAATGCCATGAACACCGTTTCTAAAATTTGCCGCTCAATTCAGTTTAAGCCTGTCTTTAAACTTGACAATTGCGCCGATAACCGGATACGCCGAATCGAAAATCCCGTAAGAAATAGTTAAATTAATAGTACTTTAGTTTTAGAAAACGAGAGCTTAGCATACGATTGCTGGGTAGCCATGAGCAGGGTCGGAATATGTCCTGGACTTTGAAGCCGTTGGCAAGGGCTAAGGATATTCGTGTAGAATTCTCGCCAGATTATGTTCAGCAAGTTGTTGGGTTGATTATTTCCGTTTTTGCTTGTAAGTGTGAGAGAGATTAGAAAAGCAATTGTGAGATACTAAACCTAGGGTATCGAGGCTTAGCATAAAGGTTGCCAATGGGTCGATTCACGTTACTCACTTTAGAGACTCAGGACGGGTGAGTTAGGTCCATTACTATTTACTACACCACCACCGACACGTTTGCTGATGCCAAAGCCTACGCCGAGACCAGCACCAAGGATTATCAGTATTATTAAAGTGGTGATTATGCCGCGCTTTGATTTACTAAGTCCTGCCCATGATGCGCAGCAGGCGCTATCCTTCTTCATCTTCTTCTTCCTGCGCTTTAATTCCTGGAGATTGGGCCACATGGGGTCGACGGTCGCCTTGTGTCTTAATAGGCCAGTTTTGCTGGCGGCTGCTTGGGGTTGATGAATGGCAAACGGTTGGGCTTCAAGATCGCCGTCAAAAGATGTATGCGTGGTGTATGTTGGCAGTTTAATTTCGGATGAGTTGAGTAGAGAGTTGCTTCCGTTGTTAGACTTCTCTTGCCGCGTGGCTAAGCTTAGAGCTGAGGAGTGCATTGAATCAGTATCTCCATTATTGATAATGACTTTCACGTTATCCGTCTGGCGCTTAGAGTGTGTGAGTAGAGGGGTCGGAAGTGAAGTAACATTGTGATTCGTGGGGCTCTCCTCATTGAGTGAAAACTCCGTGATGGCAGGTACAGCCTTTTCGTTCATCTTGGGAGGTCTGGAATTGGAATTCCAAGTAGGTTGAACTCAGAGCATTTATTTGGGGAGGGGGATTGAGGGGGAGAAGAGAGTGTTGCTTAAATTGATGGTGAGATAAAGGTGTATCCAAAATTGTTTGAAGAGCGCGCGGCCGTCAGAGAGCAGCAGCATACATGGATCAGTTGAAGTGAGCGGTGCCAACTGGAGCCTGCGCCGAATGGCCTTCTATGTGAAGCTGAGACAACGTAGCGCGTATCTGCTAGTAGGGTCATGAATAGGAGAAAAGCCGTGACGAGCGAGATTGATAAATGGATTATCTGCGATAACCCCGGCGACAAACCCGAGCCGGGCTCGACAAGCGCTACGGGCAAGAGAGAGCTTATTAGACTCTATTGGGCCTGGGGCAATGCAATGGAAACGACATATTTATGCCGACCAGGTACACAAAGGGAAAGAGAAGCGCAGGGACATGGGCAGGGACTGGGATAGTAAAGAGGTAATACAGTAATTTAAGATTAAGCCTGATACCATAATTCATCGTAAATCTGCCCAAAACAATCAGCTTCCCAGATTTTAGCCTCGATCACGCGCGGATTCAGTATAATCTATATTCTTATCCCTTTGGAGTCTTCCACCGAATCATGATTGTGTCCAACCACACATCTCATTAAGCCTGCGATATCCCTTGTTTTTACTCTAATTTTACCTCCCCACCATTGCCATGGTCTCCCAAGAACGAATATGTCCCATATCGTGTAAGTATTGTTGACCGTCTGTATAGCCGCTATTTTTATCCTCACTTCTTCTCAGCTACCACGGCTGCCAATGGTTCTCGTCCAATGCCGACCATCGATTCATCTTACACAAGCTACCAGGAATCCTGTCATGACCCATCCCTCAACCCCAATCTACCCCTCCATCAGATCATGTTCGACAGATACTGATGGTTCGTGTAGGGGATGAGGTAATCGACCATTCTGGGGCATTGTGACATGAATCAGCGCGCGTCGCATCTCAATTTCAGCCAATTTTTCCTGTACGGGTCTTAGCTTTGTCATGTTTCCGAACCTTCACCTGTGCTGAGCGCCAACGACAGGATCTAAGGCCAATAGGTCGATGCAATTAGTATTCCCGCAACTCGGCCTAGATTCCTTCTTCTATGAATGTACAGAAACTCGGGAAATATGGTATAGGACCGTAGTTTCATGCAGGGAGTCGCGCCAGAAACGTGCACTCCATGTATCTAATAAATGGGACTTTCAAATTTATTACTGATTTGTTTGCTGGTACCTCACTCATTCCCCTGACTTCGACCTAAAGGGCATCGTCCTTGATTTGTAGATCAAAGGATCATGAGGTGCATGACACAATGGCAGTTCGGAAGGCGACTGAACGAGACAAGCATATATCAGATGAAACGCTTGATCTGACAATCTAACAGCTCTGTTAATCCTAGAGCCAAGCGATACATTGCCAGACGATCAATTTCACTGCGCCCTAGACACCCATGCTATTGGCATGGTCAGGCCTGAGTCTTCCGACCGCGGCGCTGCTCTTCTGTCGCGTGACAACGCCGTGACCAGCTTAAAGGACTGTCCACTCCCCCACCAATTCCGTACAACAGCTAAAACGATTCTACCAATAGATTAGCTTCCACGATGTATTCGTCTTTCCTCGCTGTCATGTGTTCATGTATTTTGGAGAAGCTATCTAAATCATGACATCCTCATGATTCGCGAGGTACCCCTTGCTGTCGATCGCCTTCTCACAGGGTTACCAAATCAAACTCTGCTCAGTATTATTGCCTACTACCGTTCGTGAGATATTTGAGATATAATCGTGACTTGGAATCAAATTGAAATCATGAATGAGAGCCATGCACCCGCAATTTCGCGCAATACTATGAGATTTTATGATTAATGAACTCCAATCTCATGTTTCAAAATATACAATACAGTCGCCTCGACCGCGTCATGGTTGACATAGCGTCTACGACGTCATCAATGGAGTGATAGTGAAAAAAACAACAAAAATAGGCCCTATACCATGCACAACACCAAAAGAATTACATTTGAAGAATCGTCGCTACCATCAACTCGTGAATACTTACAAGTTATCGACCGTCTGAAAAAAACCCCGTCCACTGCATCTTCTACCTGCTTTAAATCAACCTGAGTTTCTCTGAAACTGACGAGGTTTCTGCAGCTCCTGTATCAGAATCTGTGCTGGTTCCAGTTTCCGCAGTTCCTCCACTAATAGCAGTTCCAGTCTCAGTAGTGCCATTAGTATCGTTGTTATTTAGTCCAACAGGTTGGAATAGGAACATAGTCTTGGAAGGATCACTCGTCAGGCTGGATGTTCCATCAATTATCATCGACCCCGCGAAGATGGGGCCAGCAAGAAGCGATAAGAATACAGTCAACATCATGAAGTAAAGAACTGCGTAACGCCAAACGCGTCGCTTGCGTAGTTTGGATTGTTTCATAGAGTAGATAGGGGGCCTGATTTGTCGACTGTAGGAGAATTAGTTTTACTGAGTGTAGTTAAGAATCAAGGAAGTTTACCTTGGGCGGAGCCAAAATAGCATCACTGAATGAGCTTTATCAACTTGAGGAATCAATATAATAGGAAGCATTAGAAACAGCAAGGTGTGCCCGAGAACAAAGTCACCGGCAAACATTCCTAACTCTGTAATTTTACAGAGAAATTCTCGTGCAGGTTGTGAAACTGAATGCCAGCCCATAGAGTACCATTTTCCGGTCCAAAATGCAATGTTAGAAGTGTCGCTTTTGAACTCTCTAGTGAGCGCAAGGCCAATAATCAGTTTGTAAATGAATCTTTGGATAGCAGTGGCGGCAATCATTCCAAGCAAGGTTCTTGCAAACTGGAAACCTTCGAGAAAGAACATGATTTCAAAGACGACCAATAGCATGACGACGGCTATACCGTGGGCAATGGCTGCAAGTACTGATCCAAACTTGTTGCAACACATACTGAGAAGAGGGCCCATGCAACATGCCATACCAAACATGCCAGCCAGTACGCCTGCATTAATTGCGATAGGGGCGAGTGCGACTATTCCAACGCGAAGTAGGGAATTGGTAGCCTGTACCCCTGTATCACCGAGCTTTTCCTTATTATTGTCTGCAATAACGCCCACCTGTGAGTTTATGAATAAGTAAGGTACAAGTGTTACAGCGACAATCAATAAAGGCCCAATTATTTCACCAAAGAAAAGATTGGTAAAAGATGCTCGAGGCACGTCTCCTGACATTTTTGATGATGGGTCACCGAGGGCTTTCCGTTTATATCCAGTTATACGTGTACGAGATAGACGACAGTAAGCAATCCAGGAAGATCCATGAGAGCGTGAGTTTCCTCTCGAGAGCCATCTAAGAAAGTCGCGATAATCAATGAAGAAGTCGTTCCATGCAAATTGATGTGGATTGTATATGAAAGGCGATGTACACATTGCCAGAAGCGTAACCCAAAAGTAAATGAGTGCCGGTTGCCAGACAGTTAAGGTAGAGAAGAGAAGCATCATAAGTGATCGAGACCCTAGGTAGATCGATGGCCCAGCGAATCTAGAATATAAGATCCCGAAAGGAATGCGAGCAGTGGCAAAACCACGTCCGGTTCCAATGTATCGGGCTCCTCCAAAAGAAAGATCTTGCTGGAATGCATTCGCATAGATCTGACATACAAAAACTTCGAAGAATGGAGATAATGAGCAGAATTGCTTTCCGAGCCGCGTTGCAGCACGCCAGAATCCACGTTCGGTTAATTCCTGTACCACAAGGGGGACGAATGAAATAAAGAACACAATAAAGATGGAGATAGTACATCGGTAAACCCAGTCCAGAATTGGAATGATGTTGGCACAGCCTGTGGGAAACAAGGGGTCTGTAATAGGAACATTGACATTATATCGGCAAAGAATTGTTTGGTTCCGTAGTGCACCGAGGTTAATGAGGCATATCATAAACATTTGCACAGATAACATTATAAACATGTTGTTCAAGTGAAATCCTGGGTGTGCATAGTAAAATGATAAAAACCGATCCAAAGGTAGCTGCGTTCCTAGATAATAGTATTCTCGTGACAACATTTGTTCGCCCATACCAGTTCCAATCTTCGTTGTGAAGTTCAAGATTGAGCCAAAGCCGAGATCACGACCTTTTCCACACTGGTAGTACTCACAGTGCTTTATACGACCTCCACGGAGTAGAGCGGTCATACCAGCATAGATATCTTCATTCAAGTGAAGGCCCTTTTGAGCTTTGGAGACACCACCACGAGTCGTCATGAAAATACCGTTAAGAAAATCGGGGTGACCGTAATGAAGTTTTCCGCCAATGGAGGCTAGTGTACGAGCAAAGAGAGTTCCAAATGTTTGTTCTTTTCCAGCGGCTACATCGCCAAGAATTCCTATATTTTCAGAGAAGATATATTCACGAGCTCCAAGAATGGCGACGGGATTAGTCTTTGGGTTCTCAACTCCAGGAGTATATGGTGAGACGTTGTCAGTGGTCATCTCTTCGAACTCTGCGAGTACGCTACGGATCTTGAGACATTCTTCAAGGTAATTATCCTGGTTAGCGTCGATTAACTGGATGTATTCTCCCCGGTAAAAGATGATAGCGTGATTTTGGTTGTCAGATTTCCCATCTCCGAGGATTGGATTGCCTGAAAGTTGTATGCGGAACTTAGGTCGACGAAAGCCGTTTTCCATGATTTCAGAGTGTCCATCAATTAGTGCAGAGTAGAGACGCGGCTCTTCACCCTCAACGAGAGGTGCCTCTTCATCTAGGTATGCTATTTGCAGGTCAGGATAAGCACGAAGTAGAAATTCGGTGTTTTCCATTTCTTCTTTCTTAAACTTCGCATATCTCTGCATCGAAACTACAAGTTTAAACTTCCGACGGGCCATTCTTTCTAGTTCTCGTTCGAGCTTATCCGAATTACCACCGAACATCTGAACCACTTCGGGATTTTCCACACGATATAACAGCTTGATGGCACGGCTATAATTCATAAACCCGGATATGGTGCGGTAAAGTGTTTGCGAGCGTAGTGAAGCCCAGATGCGTGTTCTAAGGGTATACTCTGGGGCAGCTGACTTAAATCCTATACAATAAAATGGAAGATCATCAATTTTGCTTTTAGCGGTGTCCTTTTCATTTTTCTCGTAGTCGCCATTAAATTGAGAGGTTTCATCAGCTAAGATTTTTGTATCTTTCACGAAACAATCCCATTCATGAGGATGAAGCTGTTTCAGGTACTCTAGCAGCGTAACTCTTGAATAGGGCTCGTCTTCACGTATGATCTCACGGAGTGAGAGAAGTATCTTTTCGCTGTAGTGCGGAATCATAACTGTAAAAGTCGGCATATTGTCAACCGGGAGCGGTTCTGGAATTGGAGTTGAAAGAGATTGAGCAAAAAACGATATCCGACGCTCTGCTTCACTTTGGCTGGGGAAAAACTCAGTTTTGAAGGAGTGATCTTCTTGGGATACAAAGAAAGTAGGAGCACGCAGAGTCCTCTTTCCCTCCTGCTCCGAAGGAACTTGATGATATAGAAGTCTCTGGACGTGATCTATCGCAAGCAGATGTTCGCGATACATAGAAATAACTATGGCGTTCCAAATCTGTGAGATGAGTACTTTAGGTTTGTACTTTATTTCCATATCAGTTGTAGCAAGAACTTTCGAATAAATACGTTTGGGAAGCCTTGAGAAGATATTCCGCCAAGGCGTCCAGATAGATACACCTAGATAAAATGATCTTGCAACAGAGTAGATTGTATTCATGATGATATACCAGAGGAAAGTATCCAGGAAAAAGAGACATAGATCAGTGATAAACATTAATGCCAATAAAATCTTGGGCTGATAATGGCAGAGCATATCCTTGAGTATCCTGTCCCCGGCACAGGTCGAGATAACCATCGTTGAGAGATATCTTACCGGATCCCGGAATGAAAGTGTCAGGAAAAAGTAGGACTCGACTAACTTAGCAGCAAACACGCACAACCAAAGGCCGTAAGACATCCACATGTCATTTCCTGTTAAACGTGGGTAACTTGCAGTAAATGTTTGGCTAGCGACATACTGCCTAGAGTTTTTCGTCAAATAACTTCCAAAAAGACCACCCAATGGCATGACAGCGAAGAAGAAGAATGTGGCTAATGCTATAAAAAATTGTACAATGCCAATAGTTAAAGCAATTTTTGATTTTCCCCCGCCAGAAAATAGAAAGATGTAAGCACTGGGACCGGCGTTGATGACGAGCATTCCAATGAGAAAGAAGAGACGCTTCGTGAGATGTTGTGCCCCAGCCCATCTACGTGGAACGTATGTCCATTCAGCGATAGTAGCAGTAATCATCAGAAAACACGCAACAGCACCACCAAGGGCAACAGCAGACCATTGGTAGGATGCAGGAGGCTGATTGTTAAGTTCCTGCTGATAGTCTTTGACGAGAAGTGTCGGAGAATTTTTCGCCGTGAAGAACCAAAATGAACTAATGTGTATCACCCATATACGATTGAAATTGACCAGCATGTGGAACCATGATCTAGTTTCCTTATAAGTTTTGAAAAAGACCTTGTTCCACTTGACGTCCTTAAGCTTTAAGTAGCGCTCAGCTGGCGGTAAGTCGACAATTCGTGTCTTATCCTCCATTACGATTAGCTCAATTCCTTCTGGATACCAAAATAATTGGTTACAGTCATCGTAGCCGATTATTTTGTTGTGATCCCTCTCTCGGCGAACATATTTTCCGTCCTGAATCTCGTATCCTTGATCTCGACAGTATCGGTAAAGAGGAGTTATGACATTATTTAAAAATGTAAATTCATCTACAGGTTCCACGAGGTTTTGACATGCAGGGGAGCTGAGATAATCATCTGCACATTTGAAGATAAAACACAGACATTCCGGCATAAATCGGACTTGATTCGCCTCGCCCCAACAGAGGAGATAGAGAGCTAGTTGTCTGATGCGATCATGCTGTGACATACGGTTCATTCGTGTCTTCCACCTGTATTCTGCAGCCTCTAAACTATTATCACCTTCCAGCTGCTCGAGCGTCTGGGCCTCGTTTTGTGGATCCATTTGGTTCTTTTTCTTGGCAGCACGTCGAGCCTTCCTTGTTTGACGACTGCCTTTTCCTAGCTTCATATTGGAAAATCCGACGGCGTCGTCGAGATCAAGATGGGCGGCGAAGTACCATTTCCGATAATTCGCATTATCTCCACCAATATAATCAGCATGTAAGGAAAGGAGTGCCTGATTTGGCGTCATTCGTGAAGCCCTCGAATCGAGAAGAGTCATTAAATGATCATACATGTTGCGCATACTATCACGCTGGAACCCAAATTTTGCGGTTAGATCCAAAAAAATATCTTCGACCTCCTCTTTCGAGAGAGGTATTTGTGCGTCCGATGTCCATGCAGGATATGGTTCACGAGAGCGTTGGCCAGCTGGAAGAACATTATTGTAATCCATACCATAGTTGGGGGTTGAAGCCCCGGATGACCGGTTGCCAGCGTACGAGATCTGAGAGGATGGAGGACGATATCCCCTACCCCCCATTTGGCTTTCATTGTAGCTGTTGTAGCGCTCATCATTTCTTCCGTAGTATTCCATATCTGAGGGCCTGGCCATGTCTGATCTCATGGTGAAGTCGCTGAATGTCTCTGAATCTTCTTCGGAATCTCCACGTCGTTTTGGATAACCCTGATTCTGAGCTTGCTGACCAGCAGCTGGTGCACCTTGGTCATAGTACTGATCGGTGTAGTAGTCATCTTGATATTGCATGCCCTGTTCATGACCCTCATAGTAACCACCTTCTTGTTGATATGGATTATTAGAATCGGCGTTATAGTAGCCCCTAATTGAATAAATATTAGTGATATTGTTTAGTTTTGACGAAAGAGATGATTGACATACGATTCGTCGTAGTATCCGTCACCACCGTTTTGCGGCACTTGCTGCTCTGGATATCCACCTTGCTGATCGTAGTATGCTTGATTCTGGTCGTCTTGATAGTAAAGGTCTGAATTGCCATTTTGTTGGCCGTAGCCATCATCATAACCACCGTGTTGTGGATGGCCCGACATGGTTGAGTTTACGTAGTTTGACCTATAACAATTCCGTCAGTCCTTGATAACTCCATAATTTGGACAATATCATGTTAATTTCAAATTGTAAATTGTGAGGTGAGAGTGTGATTGTGTAATGTGACGCTCATGTCAGCGAACTAGCTTACAAGGACCCTACTTACACTCAGTACATTGGAAGATTGGGTTGGTTTGTTTGTTGCAGACTGGACAGAAGACGAGTGACGCCTGGTTTCTGGGTTCCTAACTCGATGTACTGCAGTGAAGGGACACGATTGGAGTTCAGAGTATAAAGGATTGGGACGGCCTTCCCTGACACGAGGCGACGAGTTCGGGAAAATTAACGAGATGTGGTGCCTCGAATATATCGGACGGGGGTATATCGAAACAAAGAATGGAAAGGGCTTGATAGAAAACTAGAAAGCTAATTTTGTTGCTTGGGTGATGTTGATAAGGTTGGGTTGATGGTACAAAAAAGCTGGAGCTCGCCACGGGGCTAAAATGGATAAGCGAGGGTAATGCAGATGAGAAGGCTAGGGCGAGGGAAATGACGAGGGCTACTATCGTGCCTTTAGATCTAAACTGGTCACTAATAATTCTCGTGCTGTGTCAAAGAAGTGTGTGAGAGAAAGGCATTATTGTTAAGTCTCATAATTGTGACGCCTTTGTCACACAACGTCTCAACTGGCCTATAGTTTGGCTCACATGGTACTCCCAACGACTCAATCACCTTGTAAGCGGTGTCTTCCCTCACGAGCAAGTCGCCAGCCGTCCAGCGCGTTTTTCCCTTCAACTGCATAGCCAGACTTGAGTCATGCCGGATAATGTCGAATCAAAATTTCCCCCCTTTCTCTTGAAGATCCGAATCCGACCTTCCCCTATATCTTCTCCCGTCGTCGACTACACTGTCGCTGCTACAAGAACTGCCTCAAGATAGCTCGGGAAAATTGGAGGAATTCTATGGTAACCTTTTGCTTAGATGAAGCCCAGGCTACGTTCACTACGGCGTGTACCAATCCGTCGATAGTAATCCACGACCTTGGCATTAGTCTAGTAAGGACTGGTGAGCTTGCGAGGCAATCTTCTTGATTCCTCCCTGAGCCTGGCTACGTGAAAAGTTGACGGCACAGGTCGGCACCAGGCAGGTAAAATTTCACATATACAATGCGGATAATTCAATTCGCGACGACATTGCTCATTTATGGGAATTATTGAAAAATACAAAGTTGTATATGCTATCTGGTAACAAGACTGGATTCCAGGAAGCTATTGATTGGCAATATGATTTATGGGCCTCTCTGGGAAATGCCTGGAACGGAAAATTACCGATGTTTATGGCTAATGGCCGAACCTAAAAAAATATTACGTAATCATGGGCGGTACATTTAGAAGGTCGAAATCTACAAAGGACACTGTATTGTGAGTGGATTATCTGGGGATGAAGGGGTACGAAAGACATGCAGCGTGGGCGGAGTAATTCTCAATTGACTTTACCTCTGAGACTCCAGAAATATATTAGGGGCCAGATACAGTGAGTTTCTGGCTACGCGACTAGGAATGGGGCACGGAAGTTTCGCCAATTAAGTACATGATACAGTTGAACCGTTTATCTCATCTGCTGGCTGTGCCTCCTGTCTGGTCGGCTCGCTAGTTTCCTCCCGGCTTGAGAGCTTTTCTTGGGTGGCTTTGTGGGTGGGAGACTCAATAGCTTGATGATCTGCAGATGGAAGGGTGGATTCATAGTAGGTATCTGGCATCCTAGCCGATCAATGCATATTATAGGAATGGGTGAGGCCAGTAGTGTGCCGCGTTCCTGCACTATGGTACAATATGAACCATATGACGCATATAGGAGTCGAAGATCGTCATGACTGTGAGCTATATCGGCCACATCCTCCCTCTTCGTCGCACATTAGACTACATGTCCATTTCGTGTACCTATATTATACGACCAGGTATAGTTTGAAAATCTTTGAGCAACAGATAACCGGTCTATCAATCATTATTGTATGCGGAATGTAGCTGAAACTTGAGGGCTTATTTATAAGCCTAGACCTCAGCCCGTGACTAATTACGCAGTGACTGTTTGTAATCATCTTTGACTACATCACACACACTTCGAGACTAAGCGTCCAATTCTCTTCTTAGTTTAGTGGGTTGGAGGGGCCCAAGCTCAGGCTTGGCGCCCCGGCGTACGAAAAGTAGAAAACAAACACACTAAGAGCTGAAGAAAGAAGCGATGCACGCAATCATTAGTATTGATGCGCTATTAGCCCGCAATTCAGTGAATCAATTGAGCGAAAAGGAAGATATGGATCCCAAGAATCCAATCAAATATATTCTGAAAGACTAAACTGAACATCTAACAGCGGTATTCTCAAATCTCGGACATCAATATTCTGCCGGAGCGAAGCACAGTTCAATATCGCTACAAAAATTTCAGCATAATCGGCAGCAATCCAAGTCTGCCAACCGCACCAAGTTTTATTAATAATTGATTTCAATCAATGCCTCATTGAGTATGTGGGTATAAATTAGAGCGATTTCATTTGAATGATAACACTTATCAATTAATTCGCGGTTTGGAAAGGCATTTGAACACATGTTAACGACAATAATAATATCAAATGAAGGAACAAAGATAGCTGGCACAAAGTTGGCAAGTAAGCCTACAGAGTTGATACTAGAGACATTATGACAGATGAAAAATATGACGCTGACGATGGATGTTCTCTTTATCAACATTAAGATCAGACTTTTGGAACGAGTCTTTTCAAATTGAAGTGAAAAATACGCTCTACGACTTTGTGTGTGAGAGTGCAGGCGAAACCACTAATACACTAATTTCTCGGTAGTACGATGGAGCATCATCCAGGTTGATGTCTCGGAAAGAACTTGAACATGTTGAACGACAGTTACACTCGGGACAGAAGATGGCTAGTTCAAATTTAGCAAAAACTGGAAACATTTCTCGCGGTTTTGTTGTGCATGGACAACGTGAGCGTCCTGGGACAACTCAGGATCCTAAATTTAATTTAATTGGTATTTATTGAAGGCCAACTATTCTGCAAAAGCAAAAATACCTCATTTTAATATTTGCAAATGAAATACAAAGTATGAGTAGGTCTAAAATCAAAAGAGCTATCCAATATGCACAACAAGCAATGATCATATTTCATAGTCATATAGTCGAATACAAGTGAAATGGTCCAAGAATACTCATTCTAAATCTGAGCAATCTCTGTCAAAGATGAGTCTTTAGGTATGCCTTCCGGGGCATGAACACCCAATCCTTACGATCACGATTGACCTACATGTTCTGGCATATCCTTAGACTTGAAAAGAAGACAATTATGTCATTACTGGCAATCAAATAACCCCCACCTGCACTACTTGACTGTTTTAGATATCACACATCTTGAAAGTTCCATCATTATGTTGGATGTATCGAGCTCTCTGCCTTTAAAGCAAGAATACTTGAGTCTCGTTTAGTTCGTCCTCTATTTTGCTTTTCTCAAAGCACCCATCCAAAAATATCACTCTTCTCAAATGATATTAAACTAACAACTTACAATAGCCAATCCTTCACTGCAGAATTAATACCTGCCTTTCGACAGAATTAAAATTTACAATGGAGCGTCACATCTACAGGAGGAAACTGATAATATTGTACGAATGTCACAGGGCTGTTTCTTGGGGCGTGTGCACGAGGATAACTCGAAAGTGGATAGAGTCCTTGAAAAGGAAAGTAGCAAGTGGGTTCAAAATGTCAAAGACAGAATAAAGCCTTACGCCATCTAATGATTCATTTGTCAGAGATCAAGTGATAATCTTGTATCAGCTAGAGAGAGCATGATAGTCCAAATTATAGATTCAGTAGGTATAAACGCACTCCAAATGGCCGGCATGACGGGTTTGGCCGAGAATTCAGCATATCGCTTTATGCTTGCTGAGGTAACGAGAGTCATGAAGATTATGACTAGGTCATAAAAGACCATACCTTGGCGGAAATTTACGAGAGGGGAAATTTAAATCACTCGCTGCCGCGTAAGCATTAATTACGATTTCCACTTAAGAAAGTTCCCAACCTTTCATACACATGTTTGGTTTGAATTTAAAATTGAAACCACGAGCCTGATCTGGTTTCCTGCAGACATTCAAGTATCTACGAGCTCTATTGACATAATTTTTTTTACATCAGATTTTAATTGCGTATGCAGCTATCTAGCTATGACACAATATCAAAGAAAAGTACAGAATAAATGATTCAATAAGAGAGAAGAGCACTCATGCCTCAGATTTCATTTGCAAGTACCACTGCGAAGTTATGGCGGCTTTTTCTTCACCCCAAATCATCCTTCATCCGCGAATACCCGCCCAGGGGACGTCTCAAAAAACCCTGAGTTATCCAGACATGCCTCCGTCATCCATCAACTTTTCTCCGCGCGAAATGTAATCTGAGATGTCTCCTTCCCAAGTGGAGTAGGTGCCCAGGCTACTCAAACCATACCAGAGAATACCACCAGGAGGCGGAACACAACACCTTCCATCGTTGGCTCGTTTTTATAGTGTCAACTGCGCCCTCGCAAGCGAAGTCTTGGCGCGCACAAAGCTCAATTCGTAAAACTGCTTGCCAAAATTCGGAATTTCACTCCCTTCAAGGTTATATCCTTCCTTTGCATCATCTTGTCAACTTGTCCTGATCCCTCTCACGTCCACCCCAAAGAACTGTCTCGCAGATTTGTGCGCCACGCTTTGCTTCCTCCGTCGGGTATAAATATCGGCGTGGGCGTGTATTTGGTGGTCAACTGAGACCAGAGAAGGTCGAAGAGAGGTGTAGTCATTGGGATGAGGATGTACTAGGTCGTACTTGTAGACTTGATGAGACTTAGGTAGGCGTCTGACTCGTTGGGAGTGAAAAATTGACGTGGTGGATTATTTTAAATCATTTCCTCGTGGGCCAACTTTCTCGATATTGCAAAAATTGGCTGGGCTTGGCACTGGGAGAATATTTAACTCCCAGGTTCGTGTATGCACACCTCATGTGGTCCCGGTGTCTAGGCCTCGCCTGGCTGGGGCTGCAGGTTTTTTGAGACTTTCTCCCGCGCACGCAGTTTCCATTACTGCCTTCTTTCTTTTTTTTTTTGGACAGGAGGTTCCGTGGAAAAGATGGCCGAATTCCACGGGTAAACACTGAGCTGAATGAGTATTCATCAAGGGGAATATATAAATGATCTTTCAAGTAACAAAAGAGGATAGAAGCACTATACAAGGTGTGGCCTGGGTCAGAGATGAGCCCAATGTGCTAGATAGTCATAGACTCAAGTAGTATAATAAACACACACCACACGTTCTTGATGGCACTATTCCTGATTATCAATTTACTGTGCCCTAATTTCATCTATAATTCGCTGTATCACCAAATGGTGGATTTTGGAGCTGGCACGATTGAACTCAGCGGTCCTTTCGCATCTTAAATTATGACAATGGCAGAAGCTACTAAAGACTGTGGAGTTTTCACACGTCCATTTAATTAGAAACTCAATATTTTAGGGCAACTAACAGGAAGCGTAGAATTCTCCATTCTAATTAAGAACAATATGAGGAAACTATGACAATAGAATACATCATACAGGTCGCAAGAGCCTTCAACTCACATTGTAGGGCCTGGAGGGAGACAAACGATTAAATCTCTTATCGAAAAAAGAAATTTGGTCCTCGAAGAAGTGGTCATAAAAAGGTTGGAGACGGTAAATACGCGAACAACTCAGCTTCGATCGGGGAAATCGAGGTGTCTACAATGGCCTAAACTCCATGATTTTCCCAGAGGTTGAATGGGTGCATAACAGAAACAGGCTCGATGGAGTCAACTGTATATAGCCTTCCTGTAGAAGCTTCGCAAGAACAGGTGGTCTGATATAGCATTGTTCTAAACATCATGCTCCTAGGCATAGGCGTGGTCATGCAGGACCTAGCTAAAGCAGTGTTATTATTTCTTTTTTTGTTCTTTCTCAGTTTATGACTACATAGAACATGAAGTTCTGCTAAATCAGGGTTACAACTAGAGTTGAAGGGGACATGCACAGACATATATGGTAAGTGCGCTATCATCCACCTGCTTTGGGACTGCCCAAAGAAAAGAGTTTCTTGCATGGGCAGCAGCGAGGAAGATATATCACATCAAAGAGCAACTAGTTGATCATTTTTAGGCTACAACGAGAGTATTCAGAGAGCCCACTTCGAGTTTTCGGAACGAGCGGCGGAGATCCGAAGGGAGATAATCCTAACAAGCTAGTACGAGCGGCATCATCATTATTTGACGATCAGAGATTTACTCTGGTCACCAGTTGGAAATCTGAACAACCGCAAGGAGTTCCGAGAGAATGCGGAAGGTGGCTGCAGAGTTTACGGTGGTACACAACACGCTAAAGACAACGACGCCGGTAGTTCCAGCTATCAAGACACATTGAAGATCGGAAAAGATTGGTTAGAAGAAAGATTATCTCGACCTGAGAAAAATCTGTAGCGGTAGGGGAGTTCAACTTGTCGCGAGACTGAGATAAATGGAGCAAGGGAACCTCCTCAGCATGAAGCTTGGATGTGCTATGGTTGCGTAGAAGCTTTCATCCTTCCCAAGGTGGCCTACCATCTTCGTGGCTCCACAAGTCTGATACAGAATAACTTGTTGAAAATAGATACATCAAATGGATTCCAGTGAAACGCAGTACTGCTTTTAACCAAAGGTGTTGTTTAAATTATGATTTTATCAGTGTTGTTATTGAAAGGCTGATATTATTCTATCTTTCAAAGAACAGGACATGACGACGAGGCTCTATCACCATCAATACCATCATCATAGGTAACCAAGTAGATTCCTTAATTGAGATTCTTCCTAATCCGAGTATTTAGCCATAGCGGCATGCAAGTTTCATCCATAACATAGATAGCAGGGATTATGCCTGAGTGAGGCCTAGCTATGTCAATCCGACTCAGACGTATCAGTCAGCGCTGAATCGTGTGAAAAACATTCGATATCAAATTGTCGACCAATCCTCCGAAACGGATCCTGATCCAAATGACTTTTACTCGTCCATCTCAGATCGAATAATGCGACTTCCAAACCAGGGGATGGTCCATATTCGTATCGGTCTGTATGTCGTTCCCTCTACTCCATCAATGTAGTCCAAGGTTATTTCGCTTGATGAATTCGTGGATGCCATTGTAAAGACGTTGGACTAAGGACGCATGACCGACACCTGGCACATTTTCCTTCTCACACTCGCCCAGAATTGATCTTGTGCTTCTTTCGATTTCGTGTCCAAGCTCACCCTAATCTTAGGCTCAAATATTACATCATCTCTACAAATCCACCTTCTATGTATGTATGTATATATATAGAAATTTCAGAATAATACCCTTACTCAAGACATCACGAAACCCCACCCCCTCCCTCATCCTGGTCTTCCCCAAAACTAATCGCCTCTTGCCTATAGCCACCTTACGACTACAGGCCTTGTCTCCTCCTCTTTCTAGACAGCACATTTCGCATTACTGGATACTTATCAGCGTTTTTAACTGAATTCTAACTTTCGCATCATTTACCAAACTTGCTCGGCGAATTTATAATGCAGCTTCTCGGGCTGAACTGCATAACTGGAGCTGTGCTCACAATTGCTCTTATCGCTAAGTCTGTCACAGCGGATCTTCCCCCGATAATAATCAAGGTAGGTCGATCCATCTCTCTTAAATGCAGCTATTCACTAACCAACTTATCTCCAGGGCTCTCATTTTTTCTATGAGAATGGAACCGAATTCTTTTTACGCGGCATAGCTTACCAACAAGATATCAATTCAAATGGTACAATTTCTGGATCTGGGACCTTTGTAGACCCACTGGCTGATGAAGCTGGCTGCAAACGAGATGTTCCCCTACTCAAGGAACTCGGAGTTAACGTCATACGTGTATATGCTATTGACCCGAAGGCTGATCATAAGCTTTGTATGAAGATGCTTCAGGACGCCGGTATTTATCTCATTCAAGATCTATCAAATCCTACCTCATCAATAAACCGAGACACACCGACATGGACTACAGAACTCTTCGCCAGTTATGCCTCGGTTGTGGATGCACTAGCACCTTATCCTAATGTTCTTGGCTTCTTTGCTGGCAATGAAGTTTCAAATGAGGTTAACAATACCCAAGCGAGCGCATTCGTAAAGGCAGCAGTTCGAGATATAAAAGCGTACATAAAAACAAAGAAGTATCGACCCATCGGCGTAGGATATGCTACCAACGATGATCCCGCCATCCGTATTCCTCTGGCTCATTACTTTAACTGTGGCGATCGGGATGACTCGATCGACTTTTGGGGTTATAACATATACTCTTGGTGTGGCGATTCGTCCTTTACTGATTCAGGGTACGACCAACGTACTCTGGAGTTTGCCAACTATTCTGTTCCTGCCTTTTTTGCTGAATATGGCTGCAATCAAATCCGTCCTCGCAAATTTACCGAGGTTCAAGCCATATATGGTAAACAAATGACCAATGTTTGGTCTGGGGGAATCATGTACATGTACTTCCAAGAAGCAAATGACTTTGGTACCTATGAACTCCTAATCCTTCATTCACAGCCTACTAATCCCTTGAAAGGTCTCGTCAAAGTTTCTAGTGGTAAAGTTGAGAAGCTACCGGACTTCTCTGCCTTGGCTAAACAACTCGGCTCGGTGTCTCCCAGCAACACTCCAGCTTCTGCCTATTCAGTTACCAACACCGTAGCACAAGCATGTCCTGCCACGGGTGTTTCTTGGGCTGCTTCTAGTGTCTTGCCTCCGATTGCAAATCCTGATCTGTGCAAATGCATGGTTTCGTCTCTTTCTTGTGCAGCTAACCCTACTTTATCCGACAAAGATACCGGGACTCTTTTCAGCTCTGTGTGTGGTCTCGATAAAAAGTCGTGCGAGGGCATTAGTGCAAATGCGACAACTGGAAAATATGGTGCTTACTCTATGTGTTCACCAAAAGAGCAACTATCGTTTGCCATGGACCAGTACTACAAGTCTCAGAAAAAAGCACCGACTGCCTGTAACTTTGGTGGAAATGCGAAGATCCAATCCGCATCAGTGGCTGGATCTTGTGAAAAACTACTCGAACAAGCCGGCTCGTCCGGCACAGGTGTAGTAACTACAGTACCAACCAATGCTGGGTCTTCTACAAGCTCTGGTGAAAAATCCAGCAAAAGTAGTTCTGCTGGTGCAGTGACCATTCCTCGCATGAATATGGATTTTGTGCAGGTAGGGATTTACTTGGCGACATTAGCCATGGCGGGGGCATGCATGATTTTCTTGTAGTCAGTTTTAGACTAAGACGGTTCACGTGTTGGTGATTTTGAATTTCTTGTAAACTTTAGTCAATAGCGAAATGGAGAATATATCCTTTCCCACCATTGGGGATAAAGGCTGATACTTTGCGTTTGTGCACGACACCTTGAAGCCCGGATGTGTTTCAGATTATATAATGACCTATCCATCTGTCACTGCTGCAAAAGCCATTTAACTCTCCTAGTTAGTGTGGGGGCGGCGTTGACATGTAGACTTTTGGGGTCCAAATTGGGAAAATGTTTCGAGACATTTCGGACCTGGAGGATCCACCTAGTGACGGATGAAGCAGGATGGAATAGTGGTCCAAACTTCTGTGAGATTAATAGTCGTACAAGCTGGTTATGTCGCTTACAAACATCGAGGCGACTTATTGGCAGCAACATTGATTCACGGACTAGTTGCCACAAGGGCTATTAATCGTTGCAGCTAAATGATTTGACGCGAATTATTCCGTTGCAGCGGAGAATCAGCCATGGTCATGGTTGAGACGCAGGTGAGTCAAAAGACAACCGGAGTGGGCGACGCATAAACTATACCACAGCTTGTGTGTGTGTGTGTGTGTGTTTTATTGTACTACTTGAGTCTATGACTATCTAGCACATTGGGCTCCTCTCTGACCCAGGCCACACCTTGTACAGTGCTCCTATCCTCTTTTGTTATTTGAAAGATCATTGATATATTCCCCTTGATGAATAGCCATTCAGCTCAGTATTTACCCGTGGAATTCAGCCACCTTTTCCACGGAACCTTCTACCCAAAAAAAATAAAAATGGTAGCAATGGAAACTGCGTGCGCGGGAAAAAGTCTCAAAAAAACCTGCAGCCCCAGCCAGGCGAGGCCTAGACACCGGGACCACATGAGGTGCGCATATTCATCTATATCTCCCTTCTTTGTAATAGCCGAGGTCGACTTGATCCAATCCACCATCTCCGTATCGGGTGCTGGGTACGCTCCGGAAACTCATCGGATGGCTTTTCCTCCATGATCAAGGGTGGGTGATGAGTAGGGCTCCGACCCTACCATCTGATCTGATCGTGGTTAGCTTCATGATAGTGGTGATAGGGGAATGTGTTGAGAGATGAAGACGATACAGACCGCGAAAGCGATTGGGAATCCTCTTCGAAGTGAGGACTTTGTTACTCAATCTCGGCTCTGCAGACTCTACAGTGAGAGCTGGAGGTTCGTAGGGGACACCACTGACAGGTGTTGAGAATAGTCCCCCTACCACAGCTTGTTGAAGCATGCCTTCGGTCTAAGCAGATAATCTTTGGACTTTGCCTTTCATGACAACTGCCTCCTCATGCATTTGTTCATGTTGGATGGCCTATGAAGGTTGTGGTGACATTTGATCGTCCCTGTTCATTCCAAGGCTAAACGACATGACACGGCCCTCTAGACTTGATAGTCGAGGATACCTATGTTTCTCCTCTTTGCTTCCTTTGTTGCTCACACACAACAGCAACTTCACTCGCAAGTCTTCATTCCATCGTACACCATGACGAATCTCAAGCCCTACACCACGTCTTCTCACAGCCTTCGTATCCACGTCTTTCCTGATCACTTGCTCCGTATCTCAACACCGGCCGTTTTGTAGAGTCAGTGCTAGGTACCTTTCGACTCAGATCTTAAATATTGGACTCAGCGTGCTGCTGCCTCAGCCGTCTTCACCATTGCTCTGTCGCATTGAGCCCTACTTTCTACGCCGTCATGAGAGAATGTTGTAGGATGTGCAACTGCCTTTGTCCTCTCTCCCTAACCCTTCTATACACACGGGCCCCAGTCTCCAGATTGTTCCTTCATGCAACAAAGCGGGCCGGCCTCGGCGATTAATTCAGGTCCTTGATCTCACAGTAGCCTACGCCCAGTCTTTTCCCTGTATCACCGTCACTTAGATTGATGAAGATGGGCACTGACAAGGTCGAAGGAGTGCGTGCGAGTTCCGGGCGGGATCGGAGGGCTTCACAAGTCTCTCTTTTTCATTCCCTGGCCTTCACCGCCGACACGCAATCACGTCTCAAGGACTCAACTTCGCCTTGATGCCCTATGGCTAGGTCTTCGGCCAAACCCGGATCAACTATCCTGAAAGGACTTGGTACAGACATTCGCCCAGAGGATAGAGAAACCTTGTTGCTCCATCGAAGGCCAAAGGAATCCCATCATTAACAGAGGCCATTCCTGTTTTTACTGTGTTCGCAATCGCTGGCCGCTACAAAGATCATCCTGCGTCGTCCACACCTTAAGCTGTCCTTTTTATCTCACAGAGGACGACCTAGCTCCCTAACATTCGTTCCTACCCAAGATTCCAATAGCCTACATTAAGCCTCTACGCATCAAACTTTATACTCGGACCAGGCATAAACTTGGGCTAGTGAATACGCCGGCATAATAGTGAGACTATGTAAATTGGGCCGTAAAGTATCCAGTCTGGAAGATAAAATACCAAACAACTGTTTGCCTTGTCCCCTACGAACCTGAAAGTGAAATATTCTCCGAGAGCCAAGTTCAATCACATTTCACATTGCCGAATCAGTTGGCCCACGAAGTTGTGATTCTGCCGATTCACAGGTGTGCGGCGTAGGTTTGAAGGACTTGCCTTGGGCATATACTCCCACAAGCATTGGTCGATGTATCACGTGATCTGATTAGGGCGCTAGGCTTCGCTTTGTAACTTGGATATTACTGCTTTGGAGAAGAGGCAGGAGAAGATAGAGACAACATACACCACTTGTTTTTAGCACTTTTGAGGCATTAAACCAAGTGAAACCCATTGTACCAACAGACTCCACAATCCCAACCAAGTCAATATATTACTCCAAACAAGCTCGATTCATACTGAAGCATTAAGTTTGCAAGTACGACCTAGTACATTTTTACTTCAACGACTACGCCTCTCGTAAAATCAGTCTCTGGACTCAAATGGCCTCCAACTATACACCCATGCCGACATTTTTACCCACCGGAGGAAACAATCGTGGCGCATAAATCTGGGAGTTATATTTCTGGGATAAACTGGATAGATAGATGAACAGATAGGCAAGGTGATGCGAACGGTGGACACAATCTCGGAAGGCTTTATATTTCGATGTTGGAAAAAAAGGTTCGAAATTCATCATTGTACGCTATACATATTCGCTTATGGTAGTTTAGGCGACACTACAAGTCCTATCATAGTTGGATGGTCCGGTGGCGCATCATCCGGGCCGGTCTCCCGAGTGAAGTCTTGACTGCTGATTGAAATCTAGCCAACTTTGGATACATATCTCGCGGAGTTGGTGTGCATGGACGACTAGAGTGTACTTGGATAACCAAAGCTTTTGAATTTCCTTATATTTGGCTCTTGCGGAAGACGGTCGACTATTTACGCAATCAAACATACTACAATAGTATTTGCAAATGAAGCCCAGTGTATCAGCGTTTCTGTAGCTAAAAAGCTCAACCAACACTTGTAAATGATACCGATCATATGTCGTAGCTCTACGGCCGAATACAAATTAAATGATTCAAAAATAAACTCCCAAACTAGATTTCATATTACATTGTGAGGCATCTCTTCATTTCTTCTCTGTGAATTGCCTGGTTTCACGGTTCTCAGGGGAATAATTGCTCGAGATTCTTGCCAAGGAGCCTTCTGAGAAATACCAACGTACTACTCCTGCAATCATCAAGAAAGCCAAAGACTAGATATTAGAGGCCGATTGACGGGAATCAAAAGCTAAACTGCTCCGTGAGGAAGGGAGCGATTTCTGATTTACTGGAACACTCCTGACAATCGGAACAATATGACTTTACCGAACGATAGCTACATGCCAAACCCTCTTCAGCCCCACTGTCACTACATTGCGAGATGACAACTGCCGAATGACGAAATGGCCTAATGACTAAATGATCTAATGGTTAAATGACCTTTCATGTATTATCTTAGAAATGATAACTAATTATGTTGATGTGTAATGAGTTACCTGTTTAGGAATGGCGTTAGGAGAGATGGATAATAAATAGATAAATCATTATCCTGATTTGGCGCCTTGAGGCCCATGCAGGTTTTATCGGTAGACATGTACTTTCAATAGGATGACTCGGAGGGCAAGACTGAACACCTATACGCGGTGTCCTCTACGAACCTGGGGGTGAAATATTCTCCCAGACCCACGTTCAGTCAAATTTCGCAATACCGAACAAGTTGGCCCACGAGGCAATGATTCAAATTACTCCACCATGTCAATCTTTCACTCCCAACGAGTCCGAATCCTATCCAAGCCTCATCAAGTCTACAAGTACGACCTAGTACATCCTCATTCCAATGACCACACCACTCTTCGATCTTCTCTGGCCTCAGCCGGTCACCAAATTCACGCCCACACCGATATTTATACCCGCAGGAGGAAGCAAAGCGTGGCACATAAGTCTGGGAGACTGTTCTTTGGGATTGGCGTGAGTGGGATCAGGACAAGTTGATAAGATGATGCAGAGGATGGATACAGTGTCGACGGGCGTGGAATTTTGGCAAGGAGATTTTACAAATTGAGCTTTGTGCGTACCAAGACTTCGGTTGTGAGAGTGCAGGCGACACTATAAATATCGCCATGGTTGGATGGTGCGGTGGTACACCGTCTTGGCCGGTCTGCCAAGTAGAGTTTGGAAAGCTTGGACACATACCCCACTTGAGACAGTAGATCGCTGAGTCAAATCCGGCAAAACACAACCACATTTCTCGCGGTGCTGTTATTCATGGATGATGGAGGCATGCTTGGATAACCAAAGGTTTTGAAACGTCTCTTCGGTGGGTACTTAGGGAGGAGGGTCGACTGTTTGTGTAAGCAAGCATACCTCATAGTGGTATTTGCGGATGAAATCCAGAGTATGAGTGTCTCTAACGTCAAAAGAGTCATCCAACATGTATTCATAGCACCGGTCATGTGTCATAGCTCCATAGCTCCATAGCTGAATACACTTAAATCATTTAAAAAAAA